ATATACAACTTTTCAAAATTCTAGGTCCTAGGGGCAGCTAGGTGGCAGAGTGGATAGAGTACCAGCCCTGGAGTCAGGAGGACCTGAGTTCAAACCCAGCTTCAGACACAACACTCACTAGCTGTGTAACTTTGGGCAAGTCATTTAACCCCAATTGCCTCATACACACACACACACACACACACACACACACACACACACAAACCAAATAAAAATTCTAGATCCAGTTCATTATTCATCCAAGCCTAAGAAAAGATTGTCCATCTAGCTGCATGCTCTAGTATAGGCAAAATGTAGTTTTCATCCACTTTGTTTTTTCTAGTGGAAATGGCTATACAGATCTTTTACACATTACTGCAGATATCACAAAAGAGGTTTTGTAGTATTCTGCTATCTGGTACAATCAATAAAATATCTTCAAATAGGAACATTTGAAGATTCAAACTCAACAGATTAGCAGAAAATCCTTTTGTGTGTACCTGATTTAAGACATCTTTCATGACACTGGAGAACACCTTTGGTAAATACATCTGTTTTCTATCTCAGGTACCACTTTCCAAGTACTCAAATTCACACTTTTAGAGTCACTCTCAAGTTTTACTCTCTTACTCCTCAGATCCAATCATTGCCAATTCTCAGTTGATTCTGTCTTTACATACCATCTCTTCCAACCATTCTTTTCTCTCCCTTCACATGGCTACCACCTTAGTTCAGGTCTGAATCACTTCTCACCTGGATTATTGCAATAGCCTTCCATTTTAATATTAAAGAACTCCAAAGTTCTTTTAACCAATCATGCATAATTTTTTAAATTAATGCATTTCTCCCTATGCTTCACAACTCTAATCCAATTCTTTGCGTTTGTTGTGACCACCAAGCCCTTCCTCCCTTGGAACTTTCCCCATCTCCTCTGCTCTAACTCTATTCTCCTCCCTTTCCAATCTCCATTCCTTGAAGAACCACTTCACATCTCCACTTCTCATACTGTCTAATCCCTTGTCCAATTGCCATTCATGTGCCAGACCTGAATTACTCCTTCTCTAGTTCCTTCACTTCTACTCATGCGCCGATGAATGTTATTGGAAGAAATAACAAAACCATAGCAATTGGTTACACTACAAATTTGTTTTATATAATCTTAACTAGATTCATGACAGCAAATCATTCGTTTTATTCATCTCTACTTGATTCACACTCTTCTTTCCTCAAACCTCCCACAGCCCCCCTTCACCCTCTCAGCTGAAGGCTTCACCTCACACTTAACCAAAAAAAAGTAAGACAGTTCTCTACAAAACTCCCTCTTCTCCCTTTCTCCCCACCTCACTTTCCCCTGACATTATTCCCCACTATTTCTTCCTTCACTGAAGTCTGTAATGAAGACGTCGTTGTACTCCTTGCCAACACCAATCCTTCTATGTATACCTTTGATCCTGTCCCGTCCCATCTCCTCCAACAGAATGCCCCAACTATTATCTCATTTTTAAAATTTTTACTCTTTCCATCCATCCCTATCTAATGGTTCCTTCCTTTCCTTAAAGAAACTGCTAACATCTCTTTCATCCTTAAAAAATACTCACTAGACCATCCCATTCCTGCTAGCTATCATCCCATATCTCTGCTTTCCTGTTTATTTAAACTCTTTGAAAAAGCCATGTACACTCAGTACTTCTCCTCTCTTTTCTCCACAGCTGACTTCCAACCTTATTATTCAACTCAATCTGCCCTCTCCAGATTTATTAATTATCTCTTGATTCCCAACTCTCATTTTCTCAGCACTCATCCTTCTTGATTTCTCTGTAGCCTTTCACACTATTGATGATAGTGTCGATATTGCTAACGCCCCCTAGAGATTTTCTTTGATTTGAGTTTTCATAACACTGCTCTCTCTTCATTCTCCTGTCTGACTACTCCTTCTTTGTCTCCTTTGCTGGATCTTCAAGTCACACCTCCTAACCATGGATGTGCCCCTGATCTCTAGACTAGATCCTCTCTACACTTTTCTCAACTGATAATGCCAGGAGCTCTCCATTGGTTAGTTATCAGCTCTGTGCAGGCGGCTCCCAAGTCTATACAATTATCCCCACTTTCTCTCCTGAATTCCAATCCTGATCATAAACTTGCCTACTGTACATCCCAAACTGGATGTCTTGTATGTATCTCAAACTAAACATGTCCAAAACATAACTCACCACCTTGGCCCCCCAAACCTACACCTCTTTTGAACTTCCTCATTACTGTTGGTGGCATTGTCATCTTCTAGTCATGACCTCAGCATCATCCTCAACTCCTCACTCTCACTCACCCTCTCCTCATATATCCACTGTTTTCAAATCTTATTTCTATCTCCACCACATGTCTCGTATGTGCCATCTTATTTCTATTCATATAACCACAGTATCTGAATTCAGACCCTTACCACTTCCTGCCTAGACTATTACAATAGTCCTACTTGGTCTTCCTGACTCAAGACTCAATTCCAATACACATAAGGCAAGTCTGTGTCACTCTGCTACCCAAGAACTCCAATGGCTCCCTGTTACCTCTAGGATCAAAGATAAACTGCTACACTTGGTACCGAAAGCTTTTTACAACTTGGTCCCTTTCTCTCTTTCCAGTCTTGTTATATATTACTCTCTTCCATTATGCTACAGTTCAGCCAATGGCCACTTGCTGCTCTTCACACACGATACTCTATTTCCCACCTCCACACCTTTGCAATGGCTGTGACTTTTGTATGGGAAGCTTTCCCTCTTCCCCTCTGCCTCTTAAAATTCCTGGCTTTCTTGATGACTTGGCACCAGTGCTGCCCTCTACAGGAGATCCTCTGAATAGTTACCCCGTATCTACTGTCTATGTTAACCTATCTTATGTAGAGTTATTTACATACACATTGTCTCCTTCATTAGAATGTAAGCTCCTTGAGGGCAAGGATTGTTTTGTTTTTTATTGGTATCCTCTCCATGTAGCAAGCAGAAAGTGTTTAATAAATACTTGCTGATTGACTGATATTTTATACGTACGTGTTATCTCTTAGATAGAATGAAAGTCCTTGATATCCCCAGCATCTAGCCCAGTGCCTGGTACATAGTAGGTGCTTAATAAATGCTTGATGAATTGTCTAATGCCTCATCTCATGTCAATGCCTGGCAGTTTGTTGAACAAAGTTATTTCTATAAGTGTGCTCATCAGAATTTTGTAGGATTTTTAAGTATTTGTAGCAACTAGATTCAAACAATGGGTTCACCAGGCAAGGCTTCCTCAGTTTCAAGGTATTCTGTGGGTCTTCATTCACTCAAAAACCATAATTTTATGAACCGTCACAGATGTGTAAACTGTTAGTAGGCTAGGGGACAAATAATCATTTCAAAGCAAAGGCATTTAATGAAATAATGTAACAAGAAAACTGATAATGAAAGGTTCCTTCTGCCTTCCCCTACTGAAGCCTGGTATATACTGTCCCACATAGGAAACATGTGGAAAGGCACACACAAAGGAACATGTGACTAAGGATACATGTGTGCAGAGGCACACATATAGGAAACACTTGAGACCAGGGTGCATGAGCAGCTAGGTGGTACAGTAGATAGTGTCCGGGCTATAGTCAGGAAGACTGAGTTCAAACCCACCCTCTGGCATGTACTAGCTGTGAGATCCTGGGCAAGTCACTTTAACCTCTGTTTGCCTCAGTGTCCTCATCTGTAAAATGGGGATAATGATAGCACCTACTTCCCAGGGTTGTTAAGAGGATCAAATGATTTCATAATTGTAAAGCACTTGGCACAGTGCTTGGTACATGGAAGGTGCTATATCAACGTTAGCTATTGTAATTTCTGTGTATGAAGGGGAAACTCATTGCCTTGGGGCTGTAGAGCCGATGTGGTCATGGGGCTCTCCTTAGGCCTCTGTCCCAGAGGTCTCCTGGGGCTGATGCTTGATAGAACTCTGCTGACCCAATGGCCAGTTTCCAGCTTCTGACTCCTGCTGTATCCTCGGCTGAGATGCTACATCTTCCCCATAAGGGAAGACAGTGGGCTTTGCCACCCCCCCTTCAGCTTAAATAAAGCCCAGAGGTTTAGTTCTTGGGGTTGTTTTGCTACCACTCTTTTAGAAAAGCAAAGCCATAACATACCTTGTCATAGTCTTTTCTCACAGATCAGGGAAAAACCCTCAGTGGTTTTTACTTTCCCATGAGGCATGGATTGAGGACCAGGGGCAGAAAGGAGCCTGTTTATCTGAAAAGAGTGTTTCTTCTCTAGAATAGGATTCCTCATCCCAGCTCTTTGGAAAACAGAGCTGCTCTGGGTAACTAGTGCCTTCAAGTTTAAATCTATTTTTAACATAAAATTCCTCATTACTTGTTAGCGGCCTACTCTGATGAAGAAATTCCTTGTGGCTCCCTGCTTAAAAAATTCCAATTGCTAAACTGTACCCAGAAACCCTTAGATAGATAGATAGATAGAGTGAGTGAGCCAGAAATAAGTCAGAGGAGAGACAAGGTTCTATTTTTCTCTAACAAGTAAATTAGGAATAAAATATGAGACTACATAATATATGTATGTATGTATATTTATGTGTATACACATGTATATATTTTAAAAATATATCCTCACAAGACTGTGATAGAACTTATGTAAATTGAGAGGCAGTTTAGAATAATTGATAGAATTAACCACACAACCAGAAAGACCTGGGAGGCAAACCCTGCCTATGACATATATCAGCTGTGTGACACTGAGTAAGTCACTTAATCTCTCAGTGCTCTGGACAACTCTCTAAGTGGCAGAGAAGATGCCAGCCTACACTGAAAGGAGGAGTTCCCTCATCTGGGGAATTCCCTTATCAATGAAATCACAGGTCCATTCCTCATCTCTAAAATCATGAGAAAAGAAAAGAAAATCTTCCTTATTTAGGGAAGAAAACAATTTGAAGCCATCAAAACATATTTCCTATTTTTCAATAATTGTTTTTGTTCATGTCAGATTTCACTATGCCATTTCTAGGTCACCCAGAGATTTTTCCTCTGGTACTTACCACCAAGACCCAGGAAATATTTAACTGCCGAGCTGAAGAAGATGTCACAGAAGAACACCCCAATAAACTTATCAAAAAAGAAGATATAATTCAAGATTTCAAGAATAGAGCTGGAATATCCGACTTCCACCCAGTCAAAAAAGTTGTGATGGTTTGTACAGAATCCCTTTTTATTTGGCCATCAAGACTTCTGTAGGAGTTTTCTTCCACAGGCTTCTCAGTTCTTGTTTAAAATAACAAAATAAGGGGCAGCTAGGTGGCACTCTAAATAAAGCATCAACCCTGCAGTCACGAGGACCTGAGCTCAAATCCGACCTTCGACACATAACGCTCAACTAGCTATGTAACTCTGGGCAAGTCACTTAACCCCAATTGTCTCACAAAAAAAAATCTTACAAGACACTTGGGCGGGGGGGGGGGGAAGCTAGGTGGCGCAGTGGATAGAGCGCTGGCCCTGGAGTCAGGAGGACCTGAGTTCAAATGCGGCCTCAGACACATACCACTCAATTAGCTGTGTGACCCTGGGCAAGTCACTTAACCCCAATCACCTCACCAAAACAAAACAAAACAATAACAACAAAAAAAAAATATGGTACTTGGCTAAAATATTGAAATAGGAGAGTTCAGAGATCCAAAATTGGATATTGAAAAAATGATCACTCTGGGGAAATCATATTTACTTCTTCAAGGTTTACAAAGCAACTGGGATTTGGGAGTTATAAGCCCTGACTATTGTCACAGATGTCTCTTAGAACCTTTGATAACTAGACAAATCTCAGTTTGCCTATTAGTTGTTGATACAACAGAATGGCATAGAAACATGAGGCTTTCTCTTTTGATCTTGTTCATGCAGGAGTATCCGGGAGAAGAACTTTTGGTTGTTTATGATAAAGAGTTCAAATACGGACAGAATTTTTATCTTATTGGAACTGAAGAGGCCAAAGAAAGCATTTTAAACGTAAGCCGATCACCAAACCTTGTATTGACTATTTTACAGTAAGGAGGAGTCATATCAATAGAGTGAGCCTGTTCCTAATTGGCAAAATTGCACAGTAGCTCATGTCCTACTTGTATGAATGTCACTCCTCTGGAGGTCGTCTTTCAAATGTCAGAAAAAAAAGTCAACCTGGAAAGCAATTGGTCTCTGCTGCCCTTTGGTTCGGGATTATCCAAATTAGTTCTGGTCTGACAAATAAATTCAGTTCTTGATAGTTAAGCTTTCCTGGTGGGTGTAGAGAACTTGGTCCAGAGTATAAGTCCTTGTAAGACTTGATTTATTCTATTCCCTTTTTTAATTTTTGAAGACAAGGTTTCCCCATCTTGCCAAGGCTGGAGGTACAGGGGCTACTTGAAGACTACCAATCAACAAAAGAGCTTCTAATTGGCTCCTCTTTAGGCAACCTGATGGTCCCCTATACACACCCCCAATGTTCCTGGGGGATCCCCATAATGATGCTGAACTTAATGCACACACCCTTTCTGCATAGGCCACTCCAGCTCAAAACTCCTGACCTCATGAGATTCAACTGCCTCAGCCTCCTGGCTAAGGAAGATTGTAGGCATTTACTAGTTAGCTAGCCCACCTGGAAATTTAGATTGATTCGACTGATTCCATTAACTAAAATCAATCAAGCTAATTACTGATGGAACAATCCACTCAGAACTTAATGGGAGGAGGCAGTGTGGTCCAGTGGAAATAGTACTGGCCCTTGAATCAGAGGACATGGGTTCAAGGTATCACCTCTTGACTCTTATTTACTCCATGTGTATGACCTTGGGAAAGTCACAGCCTCTTTGGGCTTCAATATCCTCATCTGTAAAATGAGGATAGTGGAGTAGATCGTCTCTGCAGTCCTTTCCAACTCTAGACCTATGATCCTCTAATCTGACAGCTTTATGCAAATGCAGCCTAAATAACTTTATAATCTTATTTATTAAATGTGATTTATCAATTTCGCACACACAAAAAACAATATTTTAAAAAATAGATCATTTCACAAGAACATTCTACTCATGATGGGGATGAAGGAATTTTTTTCAAACCATTTATGATTAATAAGTCTTCAACTTCTTACCAGAAGTCCATGCTATCTATATTTAAAATGCTACTTAGTAGGCAAAAGCTGGTCATTAAAGCTTTAATGAAGATTGAGGGTGAGGTGCCATGGTGAGGGGATGCCCAACCCAGTTGGAGGAAAAATAAAGAACAGCAGTCTTAGCTTGAGGCTTTAACTCCGCCTAAACAAAGTGTCTATGACAGTGACTATAGCCCTGAAGAGAAGGCAAGCTTAGGGTGGCAGCTAGGTGGCACAGTGCATAGAGCACCGGCCCTGAAGTTGGGAGGACCTGAGTTCAAATCCGACCTCAGACCAAACACTTGACACTTACTAGCTGTGTGACCCTGGGCAAGTCACTTAACCCCACTTGCCTAAAAAAAAAAGAGAGAGAGAGAAGGCAAGCTCAGGATGAGAGTATACGTTCTCCTGTGCATAACATAAATCAAACCTGCTTTGGGATGCTCAGATTTCTGGGTAGCCAATGCATTTAGAGATGCTGGAATTGAAGTCGGAGAGACAGCTTCAAGTAGAATCTCTGATTTCAGCAGCTTAGAGCAGAGGCATGCTGGAAGACTTTGGCTGAAGCAAATGTTCTTTCATTTTTGGTTTAGAGAGCCTTCAGACGTTTGAAGGGTTGTCTTGGAGAAGAGGGACTAGGTTTCTTCTTATTAACTCAGAAGGCAAAACTAGGGGTGATGATTGAAAGTTACAAAGAGGTAGATTTTTGGCTATATATGAGAAAATGTTACCTAAAATGAGTAATCCCAAAGTGGAATCCTCCAGAGACTAAGGAATGTAATATTAGCTGGGATGCAGGAATTTCCCCCTTACTGGAGATGTGCAAGCAGAGACTGCATCCCTAGTTGTTGGGGATGGCAAAATCCAATTGGAGAGTTGGCAGCTCTATAGCGTGACCCATAAACAAAAAGAATCGCCACCAGAATGTATCTGACAAGTAGCTGTCCAGCCTTTGTTTGGCATCCTCCAAAGAGGACAAATCAACCAACTCTTATGTTAGCTCATGACATTTTTGGACAGCTCCTAAATTTTCCTGTTAGCAACTTTAATTTGTAGCTCCTTATTCTGTTCTCTGGGACCAAACAAAATGAGGCTAATTTTTCCTCCATAGGATATAACTTCAAATATTTGAAAACTATCATGTCCTGCCCCCTCCCTTCTCACTCTTTTTTTTCCCCTCCAGCATAAACAGACCAGTTCCTTCAACCAATCCCTATATGTTATGGATTCAATACCTTTAACATTCTATTTGTCCTCCTCTGGAAACTTTTCAGCTTATCAATGCCCTTCTTAAATGGTGGTGCCTCCAACTGAATACCAGATGAGAGCAGAATCCAATCAGACTGTCTCTTCCCTGTTCTGGGAATCTGTCTGTCTTAATAAAGGCCAAGACTGCATTAACATTTTTTGGCTGACCCATGTTGAACTTGGAGTCCACTAAAACCCCAGAACTTATTCTGAACAATTCCTGTTTATTCATGTTCCCCTGTTTTACATTTGTGAAACTGATTTTTTTATACCCAAGTGTTAGTCTTTACATCTATCTCTATTGGATTTCATCTTAGTAGATTCAGCTCAATATTCTAGCCTGTCATCCAGTGCGTTAGCCTTCTCTCCCAGCTTTGTGTTATCTGCAAATTTGATGAGTATACCTTTATGCAAGTCATTGATAAAAATGTAAAAAAAAAAAAAGATCACAGGGTCAAGCACAGATTCCTGGGCACCTACACTAGAGACCTTCTGCTGTATTGACACTGAGACATTAACAATTATTTTTTGGTCATTCAACCAATTCAGAATACAACTGCTCATATTATCTAATCAAAATCTCTCTTTCTCAAAGGAATTGTATGAGGTAATTTTATCAAAACCTTTGCTAAAATATCAGAAAACTAATTTGAGAACATTCCCTGTATTTACTCATCTAATAATCCTATCAAAAAAGGAAATTAGGTCAGTCTAACCTTTCCTGCTCTTGATGAAGACATGTTGAGTGCTTTGTAATCACTGCTTCCCTTTCCAGCTGTTTACCAACCATCTCTTTAATGATTTGTTATAGAATTTTCCTAGGAATCCAAGGCAAGCTCACTGTTCTATAGTTTGCCAACTCTGTTGTAGGTTGGATTCTTACTCAGGTTTGGATTGGAATACTTGATCTCTAAGATCTCTTCTGACTTTTAGATTCTCTGACATTCCAAGTAAATGGTGTTAGAGGAAGAACTGTCTTGCAATCATAGAAACATCACTGTATCAGAAGTCAGAAACAAAAGGGATAGGAATAGATTAAGTACATAATGTTATCCATAAGCAGAACTGGCTGGAGGATTTTACTATAGGGATTTTACTTTTGCATTTGGACTGCACACAGGATAGTGATAGACACCTTTGGTGAGCATGTGTCTCCTTATTTTATTCTTTGCTTGATCATTAGAAAAATCCTTATTATTAGACAATTTGAACACCTTTTCAAGCTTTTATTGAATTACATATGTTTAATACTATGTCTCATAAAATTTCAATGTCAACCCCTTGATCAGGAATGTTGATCCTCATTATAACATGATTCTTTTGTGAAAATTAAATTTCTCTTAGATCATTTCAGCTCACAGGAACACTTCTTCATTAATGTAATGTAGTATAAATATGAGGATTGCCTGTATCTATTAAATTTCTTTGCTCTGAAAGGTTAATTTTATTTTAATTATGTTATTTTCTTTATTAACAATGTAAAATTTTTGTAATAAACTGACTTCTTAAAAAAACCTTTGGAATTTATTCAGAATTATGTCAGAACTTAAAATAGCAAAATTCTGTGACTTGTGTAGCTCTATTGCTATCTGGCAGCATGTATAATAGGGGAGAGAAATCTGGGAAAAAAAGAGACTTTTCAATAATCCCAAGTAAGATCAGGGCTGATGAAAAACTGACATCTTGATTCTAAGGGTATTCAACTAAAAAGAAAGAATCTGAAAGGATAGAAAATAGCATTATCATCAATGAACCTATAGGGAACCTTAAAGACCCTCTGCAGGGGTCTGCATGAATGAAGGTATAGAAACTGGAAAGAATGGGCTGAATTACTTTTCTTCTTTCACTCTTCATTGTCCTTTCCTTGGGTTATTTATATATGAGAGAATGAGGTCTTATGCCAATTAGAATATGCACAGAAGTAAAGTTTTTTTTTAATTTTATTTTTTGCTGCTGCTGACTGATAAAGACAGGATTACATTATAAAGCCAGGAAAATGGTCCAAGTGGGTAGTAGACAATAACCTTGTCTTCTTCTTTAGCTTTTGTGCTAGTTTGAATTCATTTGCATACTAATACAAATAGTCTATTGACAGCAAAGTGGACTTCACAAACCCAAGTTCCATATAGCTCCTGTGAGTTTTCTTTGGTGATTTATAAATTTTGCAAAAGACAGACAATTTTCCTTGAAATGGGCTTTAGGGGTATAGATTCTCTCCAAGGTGTTACATAGGATATATATGTATAAATATGTGTGTGTGTATGTATGTATATATGTATATGTATGTATGTATATAGATATAGATATGTATGTATGCATGTATGTATGTATGTGTGTGTGTGTATATATATATATATATGGAATTTCTAACCCTAAATCAGATATTCATGGACATACATGGATATAATAATGGACTTTCAACTTTGATTCAACATCAGTTGCAAAGAGTTTGAAAAATATAATTAGTATTGGCATGGGGGCACTCTGCCTGGTTTTTGTTCAGAAGATCTAATTTGCCTGTGGTAGCTATAAGCTTCAGCCAATAATAATAATAATAATAATGGTCATACCTTGATCTTTCTATCACCTACAAATGCACCACTTCCATGTTTATGAACTCTGAAATTCCCTAAACAACACATTCAGTATCAATAGCTCAACATCAGCTATTGTGACCTCTGACTGACTGGCAAAAGCAAACATGCTGATGGGGGCTCATGGCTTTTAGATTTGAATGGATGCTGACCCACTGTGTATCCCAAACCTCAGGTAGCTTTTCTAGGATGCACATATGCAAGTGAGGGTATCCTGAGTCCTGCAGATGAATGAGAAAACTCTAAGGACCTGGGATATTATCAGTGTGAGTGGATCCTTCACTAATGAAAATTACAACTTATAGAAAGTGTGACTTTTAATCTAGTAAGACTTACTAGATAAATGGTCTCTGAGAATTGCTATGGGAAAAAATTCCTCCTCTCTGACCAAGCGGATGATAAGTCTTTCCAAATTTAACTAATAGACACATATTTTATCCCTGAGTCTACACTCATAGCCTTATCAGTTGGGCAGAACTGGCACTACTTTGACTTATCCTTCAAGAGCTCAGCCTCCAATGAGGTATTAGAGAAAGACTTTAGGGGGAGTCGTGTGCAGATAAGAGAAAGCATTTATGTAATTTGCCAAAAGTTCATTGTATAACTGATGAAAATGCAGCAATTGGAATTTTTTTTTAACCCTAGCCTCCACAAGAGCAGGTGGATACCGAAGAGGTCAAAGAAAGCGTTGAAGACGTTTATGTTTATAAACCACCTATTCCTAAACCTTGGGTTTCCCTGGGAAGTGAGAAAGAAATTGAAGAAGAATCCGTGCATGAATCTACAATCATGGTCAGAATGAATACCTTTCAATTGAATTTGACATTGTGAAGTACCTTCTATGTTCAAGGCAAAGGCAAAAACCCTTCAGCACTTACGGCTTTTATTCTTAAATTACCACCATATGGTGGGACAACTATCCAGGGGTGGGGAACCTGTGGCCTTCTAGATCCTTAAGTGTGGCCTTTTGACTGAATCCAAATTTTACAGAAATTGTTCTGGTTTTTGTTCAGAAGATCTAATTTGCCTGTGGTGGCTATAAGCTTTGGCTAATAATAATAATAATAATAATAACAATGGTCACACCTTGATTTTTCTATCACCTACAAATGCACCACTTCCTTATTTATTTATGTACTCTGAAATCCCCTGAACAACACATTCACTATCGACATACAGATACAGAAATTTTTCTGTAAAATCTGGATTCAGTCAAAAGGCCACACTTAAAGATCTAGAAGGCCATACGTGGCCTCAAGGCCACAGGTTCCCCACCCCTGACCTTGGCTAATCAGCCATGGTTTCTCCCCACTTCGTACGGCTAACTCCTGAGCATTCTTGGGGCCCCCTGATTTCTTTGGATAGAAGAGAGAGAAAACATTCTTTCAATATCAGTGAAGACATTTCCCCCAACCCCCGCCAAAAAAAAAAAAAAAACCAAAAACCAAAAACCAAAAAACATTAATTTACTTTTTTGTATTCATTACAGGCCAAGTATAAGATTTCTCGCAAACGAAGACAATTTGGTGCACCCATTGAATTCGGTGACTATAATGCTTCAAGTGTGAAAGACAGCTACATTGAATGTACAGCATATGCAGATAAAAACTTTGCAGTCAAGCAGCTTGAGAAAGACATTGCTGTACAAATGATACCGATGGTGATGAATAAGCACACTCAGACCCAATGGTGAGCACAAAGCAGATTTAACTCGGTTTGAGCACTCATGAAGAAAACTATCTAATTCTCAGGGTTATCAAGCTACATCACGAAAATAAAAATAAATATGAAGTTATAAAATGTAGATTTAGAAACTAATTCAATTTCATTTTAAAAGTCGCTATTGAGCGCCTCTTGTCTGGTCACCGAGAAGCAGCGTGGTCCAGTGGACAGAGCCAGCCCCAGAGTCAGAGAGCTCTGCGGTCAGGCCCTGAATAGGGCACGTATTGACTCTGTCCCGGTGGGCGAGTCACTTCATTTCTCAGGGAGCCCCTGAGAGACGCTTCCCAGGACTGCAAATAGCAGAGCAAGGCTTACCTGCACATATAGAGGGTGATTTCTTACTAAGAGTTTTCTAGCTCTGATTAAAAAATGTATATTTTTTAAAAAATTGGTCAGCCAGGAGACAGGGAGAAAGAGGAGGCCATACAAAAGACGTATGAGCCATAGTCTCTTCTTTCAATGAGTTTATAATCTCATTTTAGAAATAAGATATTCGGGCAGCTAGGTGGCGCAGTGGATAGAGCACAGGCCCTAGATTCAGGAGGACCTGAGTTCAAATCCAGCCTCAGACACATAATACTTACTAGCTGTGTGACCCTGGGCAAATCACTTAACCCTCACCAAAAAGCTAGAAAAAAAAAAGAAAGATATTTATATATACACACAGTTACATAATAACTGGTAGATAAGGTGGCACAATGGATAGAGCACTGAGACTCAGACACCTACTAGCTGTGTGACCCTGGGCAAGTCATTTAACCTCATCCATGAAACAGGAACAATGATAGCACCCACCTCATAGGGTTTCTATGAGAATGAAATGAGATATATTTTGGGCTGATGAGATAATATATCTCATTTGAGACTTACAACAGCCCTATGAAATAGGTACTATTATTATCCCTGTTTTACAATTGAAGAAACTGAGGCAGACAGAGGTGAAGTATTTTGCCTGGGGTCACCCATTTAGTGATTGTCGGAGGCTGGATTTGAACTCACATCTTCCTGACTCCAAGCCCAGAGCTCTATCCATTGTGCCACCTAGTACATCTGAGCAATTAGGAGAATCTTTTAGAGGAGCTGGGTGGTCCTCAGACCCCAGGCTATGACAAGAAGGAGAGGGCAGCAGGCAAGAGCCACTTATTCCTTTATGCAACTGATGAGACGCCCTCACGAACTCTTATTTCAACAGGTTTAAGTAGAATTTAATCTACTTCCCTACACCAAGCATACTTGATTCACAGGGATTGTTAAGACAAAATATATTTTAAAGCATCACTTGTTCCTCTTTAATGTAACATAGTGTTGCATAGTAGATAGAGGGCCAGGCCAACCTTGGGTTTAGAAAGAACTGTATTCGAATCTCCTCCTCTCCTCCTCTCCTCCTCTCCTCCTCCCCACCTCACCCCCCCCAAAAAAAACCCCACAAGAGATTAACTGAGGAATAAAAACATAATGTTGTAGGGCTGAAGTTCTTTTAACTGAACGATCTGAAGCATGAGATGGCACAGAAGGCAATGGAGAGGGCATGGTGGGCACAAGGAGGCTGCCGCCCATTTCAAACAAAGAAAGATACAGAACTGGTGTAACGGACATTGTCCAAACTGTGTGATCCAATCGGGTACATGAATACAGGGGGCCCCTGGGAAGCCCCCCAGCCTCACCACGTGCCAGGCAGCGCTCTCCAACTCTAACTTACAGGGGAGCTGCCGATCCGATTGGCATTAGTAAAAGGAAGTTCCTCTCCACATTCTTGACCAGAAAAAAGAGGGAATGGGAGAGATTTTGGTCACATTTATATAATACCTACATGTGGAATTTAATCAATTCAGTGACATGAATCAAATTAGCTGTTTACTGTTGTGACAAAATAAAAAATCAAATGATTGACAATATTTTTTTTCTTTTTAACCAGCTACAATTTCAAAGACCAGTCCTCATTTTGATAAGTACCCACACACGTATATATCCATATAAATACATCTACATACCTATATCTAAATATATATAGATAGATATCTTTTCTATCAGGAGAAAGATTTATCAATTTATTTGAAGTAATATTTTATTTGATTTAATCATTTTCTGATATTTGAGCTTGAAAAGTATAAGAATTTCTATATAAAAGTTATGACTATAGAAGAATGTGGTACATGCAGCACTGTAGCCACATTATTATTAGTACTAATAATAACTGAGATATAGCCCTTAAGGTTCACAAATAAATATTGATTGATAGAGTTGGTAAAGAAAGATAACCATTTAATGGTAGGCAGACATGCGGCACAGTGGATGGAACACTAGGACTTGGAGTCAGGAAGAACTGAGTTCAAATCCAGCCTCAGACACCTGACACTTACTGTGTGACCCTGGGCAAGTCACTTAACTGCTGCCTGCCTCAATTTTTTTTTGTGAGGCAATCAGGGTTCAGCGACTTGCCCAGGGTCACACAGTAAGTGTCAGGTATCTGAGGCTGGATTTAGGCCACAGCTCTGTCCACTGCAACACCTAGCTGCCCCTGTGCCTACATTTCTTTATCTGAAAAAGGTAGTGGTGTAATGGTGCCACTTACCTCCCAAGGTTGTTGTGAGGATCAAATAAGATAATATACATAAAGTACTTTGCAAACTTTAAAGCACTATATATAAATGCTACCATTATATTAGAATAACTTCACCTTTTTGTCTACAGTAGGGGAGAAAATATAATAGTACACATTTTTTACTTTCAATTTAAAACCTTTGAAGAGACGTTCATTTTACTTGTCATGTAAAACTATAATTTTGACTTTAATGTCATGTTGATAATTTGGATACATAAAGAATATCTGTATTCAACTCTATTTTTATAAACCAGGAAATTTCCCAGAAATGCTACTACACAATATATGCCTAGAGAATTCTCAAAAGAGGAAAGAGAAACACTTCTACAGTCAAAGGATCTGAAAGATTTTCTTAACTCTATATCCTTGAGGTAAAAGCTTTATATATCATTTAAAGCAAAAAATTGTGTTTTGACTTTGTGCTATTGTATATCTAGTCCAAATAGAAAGTGTACAGGTAATTTCACTTCCCCATGAGCAAGTTACGTGTTTTGTTTGTTATTCTTTGTTATTTTGTTATTCCTCACTGCCTTTTTGCCTCAGCAGGGCTGGGGTTGGGACCCACCTGGTTTCCCAATGGGCAGATGAAGGCATCACAAACAGAGAATTGGGAGAGGCCCACCGCTGGAAGGGATCTGTGGGGGCATGACCCAGGGTGTGTGGTTTGTCCCTGGGGGTTGTGGGCTGCTCAACAGAAGGGCCTGAGCCATGACATAGACTCAAACATTGGATCAGTGCCAGTGTGCTAGCAGAGTTCAAGATGCAGGCAAAAAGGCCTGGTCTAGGGTCAAGTGAAAATTCCATGTATCAGAAGAGGGCACGATATAAATATGAGCTATCATACTGGCAGTGCTTATAAGTAATGTAATCAAACAGATCATCATGAAGATAATTGTAACTTATGCACTGACATCTTTTTTAGGGAATGAAGAGGTAGAAAAGTCCTATGAAGAATTAGATGAGATCTTTCTGACAAAGTCAAATATACATTGATACCTGGTGCCTTCAATTCTAAGGTGGTTTTTTGGGAAGATATTGAAAAAAAAATATGGTTCAGGATTAAGAAATGGAAGAGGCTAATGAATTGTAAATTATGAGTTCTTTTGCCAGGAAGTCAGGAATACTTGGAAAAGAAAAGGAAGGAAGGAAGGAGGAAAGAAGAAAGGAAGGAAGGAAGGAGAAAAAGAATGGAAAAAATCACGAGCAGCATTATTACCAAAAAGAAAAAAAAAAGATCCAGGGATTTATCAGTAACTCCCATTCTATATGCCTTCTTCTCTTCTCTATAAAATCTTTATGAAAATTATCTGCACATTTATGCATGAAATGATACAAGTATCTTAGATGGAATTATTAAAAGGAAACAGGCAGGCTTTTGTAGATGATTTTTTAAAAAAGTGGACAGCATCTCACCAATCATACAACTGCCTGAAAGGTGTAGAGAATACAAAATCCCATTGTTTCTTGGGGTTTTTTTTAAGCTTTTGCCTCAATAGAACAAAATAGCCTTTAAAACTACAGCGGTGACAAGTTGTCTTCTATACCTAAGATTTCTTGATAGATATAGTTACAGAGATAACTAGGTTCAACTAGCCCTTGACTGTCCACATCAAACAAAGGCAAATGTATTTGCCAAAAATGTCTGCCACGATGGGAAGCGTCCCACACAAATTGAAGAGGGATTCCTTAAAAGTGGCAGGATGTTCTAAATGGCCCTGTTTGCAGATGACATAGCGACGAGTGCAAGCCCAGAAGACTATAGGGATTTCTCAAAGAGATCTGCGGTCACTAACCACAGATTGACTTAACAACCCACATAGAAAAAAAAAACAAAACAACAAGTTGACGAGGAATGTCTATTATTCACATTATGACATGCCACTGAGTTAGTCTAGCACCGGTACCTATAATCTCAGACAGCCACTGTGTATTGACAATGAGCCGGGAAAGGAGGAAGGGAACGGGCTGGATTACATCTGAAGATTTATGCTATGCTTTCAATGCTCCCAAGTGGCTGCCTCACATGAAAATGCATCTTTTTAAAATCTTCTGGTATTACTATGTGGCAGCTAATTACAGGACTCCACAAATTTCAAAGGCTCAGAATCTCAGATGACCCAAAGAGCAATGAAGAGACTTGTAGTGGACACCACAACACATTGCCAACCAAGATTTGTATGCAAGAAGCCACGTAAAAGATTTATGTACAAGAAGCAACGTAAAAAACCCAGAAATGTATGATTGCAAAAGACCACAGCCCATCATGGAGCAGCTGCAAGGGATGAACAGCCTGAGTACGTCTTAGTACCTGGAGAATGCTCAAATACCTGAAGAAAGGTCCTCTAGCAAGTTGGAAAAGTGCATCCTGTGTTTATGGAAGGACACGAACATGGGCATGGACGGGCTGTGATTTGTACTGTTAGAGGGGAGACTCACATTGATGAGATGACAGAACCCATTTTGCAGTAACTGAGGGGAAAAATATGCTATATTTTATCTTGTTATTGCGGAACTCAAAAAATTGTATATTTCCTCCTGTGTATTTAGCCTACAATCAGTTTACCCTGGCATCCAGTGAGTGATGCATCTATGTCTATGGGCTAGTTGATCTGTGAGACAGACCCCAGCCAGAGGATCATCACTCAGCCAATGGCAGGCTAAATACACAAGAGGACATAAACAGCTCTGTGAGTGCTAAGATAACAAACCTAAACAGAGAAAGTGATGGCAAATACAACAACAATATTTGTTACAAGGGAGGATTTTTGTTTTTATTTTTTAATTGGAGAGTTGGTATTTGGGAGGGAGCAAGAAAGAAAGAAAGAAAGAAAGAAAGAAAGAAAGAAAGAAAGAAAGAAAGAAA